AGACCCTGCACCTGCAGGAAAAATATTAGGAAGAAAAAAAATATGGGCATTATTTCTAAATTTATCTTTTGGATCAGAACACTTATTTCCTTCCAGACATAGGTATGCTTTTTTCTAACATGGACATTATTTCATAAACAGGATTTTTCATAAAACAAACATATATTCAAATGTTGGACTGGAAACACATCTATACAATTTAATATCTCAAAAATCCAATGCAATTTAGAAAAAAATGAGTGTAGAAATACTCAATTATTCTATCATCCTTTACCATAAATCTTTTGCATATAGCATCTGGCTACTAAGGTTTTAAACAAGAAGTCCTTGCAGGATTACTGCTCTTCCTTAGATTTCTCCTTCTCTAAATAAGAAGGTTTTTGTGGGTTACCAACATCAACGAACAGTTGATACCATTTAGATAGAAATCTTTTCTGGCTACTGCATGTTTTATGTTGATTTCCAATTAAACTTAGCAAATACAAAAAGCATTGCTTTGGACAAAAAGGTTTAGATCTAAATTTATCTGTTGTATGAAAGTACATTTAAGGACCTGAACCCTGAACTTTTCAAAGTGCTATGATTCACAGAATTATGCCACCAAAAAAAAAAAAAAAAAATCCCATTGAAGACAATATTCAGAATACAGTGGTGCTTTCTATTGGGGTTTTATCAGAAATGCTTATGTAAAATGGCAGAAATTCTGCTTATTTACATAATTTCAGCTTCATACAGTGAAAATAATCTGGAAAGTATTTTCCTGAATCAAGTATTTTCTACTGATATCTCTTAAAATCACTTTTGAAATTAAACATGCATGTAATAGGGGAATTTGGCAAAGGAAGATTAATTGATTTGTGATTTTATTTACAAAACATGCATAATTTATGTCAAGAATTAATTTCAGTATTACTGACAGGTTTTGAATTCTCTTTTGGGATAGTTTATTTACCATACAACTGTATGTATTTTTACTTGGCAGTGAATCCTAGGCTTATTTCTGGGACAGTGTGCACAGGACTGCGTGTGCACACCTTAAACACAATAGGGTTTGCGCCTGAATCCACGTGTACAGAATTAGGCTGCTATGTTTCCCATAGACTAAAATAGATTACTTTTTGTCACACTTTTTATTTTTAAGGACTGAGTGAATAATTTGAAGCTTCACACTCCTGGTTCATATAAGGTGGCGTCTACACGTACCAAATGCAAGCCCTCTACTTCCTCCAAGCACATGAGTGGTTCTATTGACACCTAAAGAAAACTGGGGGCTTCCATATTTTATAAAACTGAGCACTTGTAGCTCAATAATATAACAGCAGAGAGGACAATACTGTAATAATGAATAGCAAATCAGTAACTTTAATAAAACCTGGACAACAGGCACATGGAGACTGGGCACATTTCAGATTCAGTGCATTGAAGCATGGGGGAGGCACTTATGTAGCACCTGGCAACTTCAACCTCACCTTTTCCCATGATACTACAGCTGCCCTTCACAGCCCTGAGAAAAGACATCTTTGGTTTAAGAAGTTGCAGACAGGTGGTCCTGAGTTTTCACATACACCCCAAAGCACTTTTTTTTACCTTGGAATCCAGTGTTGCACAGCTCTAGCACATATGCATGGATTAACTGGGTCATAATTTAGCAGTATAAGAAAAGTGTTCAGTTATAATTTAATTTTTAAAAATATAACAAAGAATCATCAGTGGTTACACTTAATATCTGGCTTTACTAAGACATGATTTCTAAGAACATGAATCTTGAAAACAAAGCACTTAAAATTTATTTTCTCCAAATATGTATGTATAGGGCTGTTGCCTTAGCATAGAAATTGCACAACATCATGAATATGTTCTCAAAATATAGAAAGAGTTCTATTCAGTAAAGGGTTCCAGTCATTGCAATATCTTACCTGCAGAAAATGTTAGCTGGATCTGTTCTTCAATTATCTCAAGAGCAATAAAATCATGTTTCTCATTAAAACGTCCATTATAGAGAAGCAAAGCATTCCTTTCCCTTGTTGCAAACCTACATCAGAGAGGAACAACAAAAGGTCACACAAAGTACCTTCTACAGCCAAACAAATTAAGTAAGTTTTGCTGGACATTCTGTTAACATGGGGATTTATGTGTGTGTGTATGTGCTTTTGAGTCAGTGTTGACAACCTGGTGACTGCCTGGACTAGTCCCTACAGTCGCCTTGGCAAGATTTTCGAAAGGAGTTTGGCCTTGCCTTCTTCTCTTTAAGGCTGACAGTGACTGGTGCAAAATCACCAGCTGGCTTTGGGTCTAAGGCAGGACTAACTCACAGTCTCCTGGTTTCTAGCTTAGTGCCTTAACCACTACATCAATCTCTCTCTCTCCCCCACTCTCTAATGGATCATGTTTTTTCATACAGCAGCTACCAAAAAGTATGTCATTACTGTAGGTAGTCTGGGGAGCAGGAAAGGAGAACCTTTCCTCGTCATGTTGCCTCACTTGGGGATCCTCTTATCAGTGGCATCAATATTTCAGTTTCCAAGCGTCCAGTAAAGAGAATTTCAACTTGTTATTTATATGAAATAAAATAAGAATATAGAAAGGAGCCTTACAGCATGTTCAAGTATCTAGAGTTGCAGGCAGGGGTCTTTCATGTTTTCAGCTATCAGATCTTCTGATATGAAGATACTAAGATTTAAACATAGGCCTTCCTACAATGGAAGCATGTTCTGTATTCTTGATCTATGGTTCACCACTGGGTGAACTAAACTCCTCTCTGGTCCGTGTGACCCTTCCACCTTTTCAGAAGTAGGCAGGTTCCCTACGCATGCCACTTTCCTAGCACTATCATTAAGGTTGCATTTCTTTTAGCATACTCTAAAGAGCTTTGAAGTCCAGTAGATAGCAAAACATTAACTTATAAGCTTAAATTAAAGCTTTAATATATATTTTTTTCCTTTTCATGGATCACTGCCTTGTCGTGGCGAAGGGGCTTGCTCAATTAAGCCATGAGCTATGCCGTGTAGGGCCACCCAAGACGGACAGATCATGACAGAGAGTTCTGACAAAATGTAGTCCACTGGAGAA